GGCTGCATCACGCCCAGCCTGTAGAGTTATTGAAGGCAGACTGACAGACAGACAGACATAGTTCTTGTACCAGCCCTTCTCAAAAGGAAGAGAGGGTCTGGGTTTATTTACTCTCTTGTATATACATTATTTTGCCTTGACACATCCAAAGGCCAAGGTGTGGTGCAGCGGTTGTGCAGAAAACCATGCAATCACGCAACTGTGCATTTAGGTTATTCTTAGGGTGAAGCTGGTACATAGTCTAACACAGCCACACAATATTATACAAGTGTGTCGGCTGAAGCATCTTCTTGTTGGCATCCTTTTTCATAATTTACACCATCCCTACCTCCCCTTCATTTTGAAGAAATGATTTTTCCACTTGTTCCAGTAATTTTTTTGCGCATACTCAGCCCACCCTTTTCGAGCTGCAGACGCGAGAGGGAGGGGCTGCTGCGGCACACACTGTACGCGTACGTAATGCACGCACGGCGCGCGGGCTCCCCTACTAGCGGCCGGGTGACGTTGCAATTTGTACGCACTTGCGCGCGCCGCCTCTCGCGCGTAGCGGGCGCATGCGCAAGTGATACATCAACATAATGAATGTGATTTGTTGTGCAAGGAGTTCACTCTTTTGAAGAGGTCTACCCAGCTGAAGTCACAGGTGGAGGCCAAAGAGCGTAGTGGATGTGTAGATGTTGTAGGGTCCAGGTTCTGACAAGTGCACAGCACCTTAGAACATAAAGAGGTATGCACCAATAAAAGTGAGGAATGCAACCCAATTATAGTATAGAAGGCTAGGATTGGGTTTTACAATAGCTATGTCAGCAGTGGTGATAAGGGCACAGGGTTTGTGTAAAGTCAGCATGGTGATAAGGGCTGGGGGAAACACTTCAGAGCCCACCTGCTAAGGCCCCTGATAAGCTGAGTACCTTCCTCTGACAGGTCAGCTATGGTTGAGACCCCAGTGCCCCTTAGACAGAAGATCATAGCCTTTAAAGACCTGCAGGGGTATGAAAGCTTCCCAGGGGAAAACCAGATAATATATATGTAGTGTAGAAAGAGGAGCCTATAAATAGTAACACCTTGTTCAGAATACTATGTGAAGGTGCATGTAGGAAGGGTGCTGATATGCTGCATACAATAGTTATGTGCACTGATGTTTAGGTGAGTAGTGTGTAGCTTCAATGTAGTAGTACCCAGACAGGCATAGCTACTGACTGCAGAGTGCACTCCTCAAGGGAGGAGGATATTTGTGTCAGAGCTGTAAGACCAGTCTGGGAGGGATCACTTACTACTGTTGGCATACAACACAATTGTCAGTGTATATACAGACATTCACCTCTAACAGTGTGCTACCTCAACTTTGTGATGCAGTTAGAGTGCCCTAAAACTTTGTGGTAAAGACAGTGCAGTTTTCCTACACTTTGAAACCAGTCAGCTCCATGAAGTCTGAGACTTTAGGAGGGTGGTTAGAACATGAAATGGGGAAGCCACCTCAATAAATTGCAGGGACCCACCCTCTTCTTCCCCAACATGTTCAGAAGTCATGTACTGATACAGGACATGTAAATCGACACTTTCTACAGTGGTTATAGCATGAAATGGGGAAGCCACCTCAATAAATTGCAGGGACCCACCCTCTCCTTCCCCAACATGCTCAGAGAGCCATGTATAGTCTATATGAGCACATGTGGCTTCTTTAACTCTTCCTTATAGAACCAACAACATTGAAGTGGTTTCCTGTGTGCAATAGATACATAGACCTCTGGTGAATGTCATCCATCAGTTGTCTGTCGACATCATGAGGAGAGTACCGCTGCCACTGCCCATGCTGCTGGCTGTATGAGAAGACAGGGGTCTGGAGCAGGTGTGCCAAAGACAGCATCTCAATGTCAGTTCCCCAGGTGCCATCTTGGTCCATACCTGTGGAAGCTATATAACTTTGAATACTGTCATAGCCTACGAGATGGTGGCCTAGGAAATATTGGGCATTATTTGTCATGTGGTCAAGGATAGCATGTCGTACACCAATATGCTGATCCTCAGACCCTGTCAGAATGTAAGATAATGCCCTAAAGAGGCAGTTACCATCTCCCTGTACGCGTCTCACACTACGCATGTCTGGACGTGTGAGGGGGACAGTGGGTCCTCCTGGTCTTACTGGTGTTTGTGTACAATATTGGAGGCCCAGCTCTTGGCATGCACTTTGCTGCCACTGTACATCTACAGAGTGGAAATTGAAAGGAGTAGCAGCAGGTGTTTCTGTACCTGTAATAACACAGTCCTCATTGTCCCTTGTGGATGTGGGATTGACCTTGACCTTTTTTGCACTTGGGGACACAGTTTTGTCTACACCAGTGAGCTTCCTCTTTCTTCTGGAGACATGTGGTATATCGTACAGAGGAAGATCAGGTCTATAGGTTTTTCTGAGGCGGTTTACTTCCCCCAGGGAACTCACACTAACACTGATGGACTGGGGATCAAAGGCTGTTAGGAACAGACCATCTAGTGACCTAACCCTGGATAGAGCCACATATGCCATTCCATCACTGAATACCTCCTCAGACAGGTCTACTATGGCACAGTCTAATGACAGTCCCTGACACTTGTGGATGGTAATGGAATAGGCTAAAATGAGAGGGAACTGTTTACGATACACATAGAAACTCTTCATGACCATGAACCTGCTTCTGACCTTCTCAATCTTGCAAGGGTCAGGTATATCATCAAACTGCACAGTCACATGCTGGGCCGCTACTGATAGTACTGTACCAATGGCACCATTGACCAGCCCAGCCTTGGTGTCAATGTTGCGACGTAGCATGACTCGTGCACCGACTGCAAGAGACAGTTTGGCTTCCAACCCAGCTGTCATGTTGCAGTCAGCGTTCAGTTTATCCAAATGCTCAATGACCTTCTTGGTCATCTTCCTATTGCCTGCCGTCTCGTCAATCTCATCAGTACAATAAATGTCATGTACTTTGGAAGCAGTCTTGTGGAGCATTTGTGCATTTAGGCCATCACATGCTTTTCTCTTGGGAAATAAACAAACAGGTGCCTTGCCAGACTGCTCTAGCTCAGAAAATTTGTCTGAGATAGACACCTGTATGACCCTCTGTTTCAACAGACTCACAGTTTTCTTGGTTGGACAACCACGTCTCACACAGTCCAACATGGAGGAAAACTGTGGATCATTTTTCTGTCTTTCATTGATAATCAACTCATCATAGGTAACACAATCTCTCCAAATATTTATGGCTGCTGCACACCCTAGTTGGGACAGTATTGACTTAGTGGCAACCTTCTCAAAAACAGGATTCCCATGGACAGGTGGCAGTTGGAGGAGGTCACCTACAAACAACATGTTCCGAGACCCAAACCACTCACTGCTACCAAACAACTCCTCTAGTCTCATGTGTACAAAGGCCAGGTTGATACTGGAAACCATAGAAATCTCATCTATTACAAACAATTTGACTTCAGACAGAGTTGCTCTCATGATCTTCTGGGATGTTTTGGGGAGTGGCCAATAGCTAGTGGCTTTGGTAGCATGCTCAACAGGGAGTTGGAAGAGTCTGTGGATAGTGATACCTCCGACATTGAATGCAGCAAGCCCAGTTGGTGCTGCGATACCACAGAGGAGGCCTTCACTACTCCACAGACTGTTCACTAGGGCCTTGATGGCCTCAATGAGAAACGATTTACCAGTACCACCCACACCACTAACAAACAATCTAAGAGGTGCAAAATCACACGAACACTGTTTTGCCTCGTGACACTTTTGGTGCAGGAAGTGAGCCTTGACATTGTCAAAGACTCTCTTCTGGTCCTGATTCAGCATGGACACTCTCTCATCTAGGGTCAGCTGACCAGGGGTACTGGCTTTCATGTCTAGAACTTCGGTCATGGCTGTTCTAGCTTGACCTAGCAACTGAGGCTCATTGTCTTCTTTGGCTTCTTTTTCTTCCATGTTGGCCTGACGTGCTTCATTAATGCTCTTTACGTTTGATGCTGCTGCCAACACTGTCCTCAGCTTCGAGTGATAGCTTGAGCTCTGGCTAGTGAGTAGTCTATGAAATGCCTGCTCAGCTGTCTCATTACCCTGCAGTAAACTACTCTCGTCTCTAAATGGAGAGAACAGTAACACTAGAGAGTAGAAATAATCTTGCTTCTGGTTCTCATTTTCAGGGTCAAAGATTTTGTGGTTAGGGAGTTTAGGCTTGCTGAGTTTCCTGTACACTCTCTGACCATTTGTATCTACACCCTGAAACTCATATTTGGCCACAAAGTCATACAAACAAACATTCTCAAGGGCGGCTGGTCTCTGAGGATAGAATGTATCTAGGACATTATCCTCAAATATGTTCTGACTATCTGGGTTCAGCCTAGCCATTTCTTGTAACACTTTGTGGTTCTTCAGTCTACGCGATCTCTTGTGAGGCATGGAGACGTCTACCCACTTGACTGTGTCAGACTTCTCAGTGAGGTGGTCTCCCAGCAGCAGATCACTGGCCTCATACAGACCACACTCTCGGAACCGTAAACTTCTAACACCAAAGCTGAAAAGGCGACTGTAAATGCTCTTTTTCTCACTAACTTCCTGCCAGATGTCTTGCACGTTGCTACGCTCAGCCTTGGTGACATAGCCACTGACATAGTGAGCGAGAGCTAGAGAGGCTTCGGCTACAAACTCGATGTCTATAATAGCCTTCCACAGCATCAATAACAGTGGGTTGTAGTCATTAACCCTTGGTTCAGCCAGAGTATGGACCAACTGGTAAATTCGGTTACGGGATTTCAGGCTCTCCTGGACTGGGTTGAGCTGAGCAGTCTCACACACTGGCTTGGGAAACCCGAACCTACACCTGGTGATGAATGCTGTCTTGCCACACCTTTTTCGCCTCTTACAGTACTTGCTGCATTTGTGCATCTGGTACCTGGTGACTAGTCTGTGCAGCTCAGAGCTACCCTGTTCATCAGGGATGTGGCAGGTGATTCTATCCTGGATCCAGTCTAGCACCTTCTCGGGATCATCTCTATCAATGAGTGGTGCATCTCTAATCCAGAGTAGGACATGGTAATGAGGAGCCCCACGATTCTGATACTCCTTCTTCCAATAAAAGTGGTCTACAACACCCAGGACCTGACCTTTCAAAATGACCTTTCGGAAAAAGGCATGGAATTTGAGGGAAAATTTCCTGGACACTGAGATTGGGTCCTCAACACACAGCTTCCCAATGTTGTAACTGGGAGGAACATTGTTCACTTTCCTAAGAAACTCAGTGATATCAGGGGACTCATACTCAGCACAGCTAAAGGTGAGGAAAAGGGTAGGCGAGCCCCACTCTCTTATCATGCACTTGAGCTCACTGTGTCTGAGGAACCAGAACTGTTTAGTACCACGGACTGACTGGAGCATTGTGCACAAACGTGCTTCTAGCTGCTCGTCTGAGGTGTTCACCTGCTCTAGTAACATGTTAACAGACATGGACTGTCTCCTGGTACTCTTTAACAAATTGTAAACACCTGATGCGAGTTGTCGCATTTCCTTCTGCCACAAAAGGTAAAACACATATTGTGCATCTTTACGGAAACGCGAGTCCTTGTTAAGCAGCCTAGATTTGACGTACTCACTAGGGGAAATCTTCTCTTTCCTAGGGTGGAACTCTCCAAACTTCCCAGTTGGGAAGAGCACAGGGAAACACATCACATCTAAATGCTGTTGCTTGTTGGTAATAGGGTCCTCTGTGATGCTCATAAGTCTGTACTGCTCTAAGTCTGAACCAATGGAGAGCTTGCTATCCAGGTTTCTAATGGTGTAGGCCTGAAACTCATCTACCTCATCTGGGGAAACCTTTTTCAACATTTCTGTGGTTGCATTGTTAGAGACCTCAATGATGTGTTTAGTGCTCTCATCAATGCATTTCTCATGAACATCTCTGTAGAGCCAGTTACAAGACCTCAACTTTCTTATTGCAGTCTTAACATGGTTCACATCCACCAAACTACGCCACACAACATTACTCTTGGTTGGCCTACCATTGACAATAATGTACAACTCTGGGTCTGGTAGGAGAGAGGTATGCTGTTGAACCTTGTTTAAGGTTTCTATGGTCTTGTTTAGTGGCAAGGGAAGGAAAAACATTGTGCCTTTGCAGGCCTGCAGGGAATTGTATCTGGGCACTTTACCAGTGTAAGTACCTAATCTCACAACAGTCTGATAGCACTTGGCCCTCTGGATAAGCTGTCTACTAAGTAGGTCTAATGCAGCCAGTTCTGGGGGAATGGGAACAGTCTGCAGACCATTGAGGACACAACGTGCAGGCATTATCCCACCTCTCACCCTGCGCTTGCAGTAATAGCACATGTACAACACTTGACCTGAAACAGTTGGTGGATACTTCAAAATATGGGCCTTCAATTCACGCCATATCTCAGAGTTAAAGTCATCAGAGAGACTAACAACAGACACTGACTTTCTCTGATGCAGACGCTCACAGCAAATGCATGCATGTTCTGGGAAGTCATCAATTTCCTTCTCAAACCCAGCAATCACTGCTGCATGTGCAATGGCTAGTTCCACTTCTAGATTAGGCCTCCTAAGAGCTGAGCATTGAACAGGAGTGAGCTTTTGATAGTTCTGCTCTACATTACAACTCAGGAGGGACTCAATCTGGGTTATTTGAAGCAATCTCTGGTGGTTACCGTTCTTCAAAGCATTGTCAATATCACACACAATCCTGTGAGCACTCAGAGCAGAAGTCACATGGGCCAAAAACCTCCTCAAAACAGGGAAATGAGTGGAAGCTGCTCTGAGTATTCTCAGGGTACTAGTACAGTAGTCACCAGAGTAACAAACAATGGGGTGCCCTTTAAGGTCCACTGGCAAAATACCCACTAATTTAGTGTAGTGACCATAGGGGCAACCCATATCACATTCCGCCAGGGCCTGCCTCACTTTCTCAACAGGCTGCTCAAAAGCTGTCCTGAAACAAACAATGGCATTGACCTCACATTCACTTAGTGGTTTGCACTGCTTTGAGCACTCCCACATCTTAGACTGGGCAGGTCCCTTATCAGAAACTTTCCCATCTGAAACACAACCCACACTCCCAGCCTGAGAAAGGTTACAGTTGGAGGCAGCATCTTTACCATCTTCATTCTTACTGTCTGCCCCCATAGGCACTTCTTTAGCTACAACACACTCCCCTCTCTCATTAACAGGGATTGGGGAATCTCTCACACGCAAGTACGCTGCCTCATAAAAGAAGGGCTCTGTTGCACTAGTGTGGCAGCCTTTTCCAAAATCATTGCGTTGTTTTAGTGAAGTAGACTTAATCAGCTTAACGCTAGCTAGCAAAAACCCTGCATGCTTCCTACGTATTTGCAAGGCTTTGCAAACCAGCCTTTTAACTGCCAGTCTACCCACTGTCTGTTCCAACTCTGCCTCTACTCAGTGTATCTGCTACACCAGCATGCAGGGACTTGAACTCTTCCTTGAGTTTCAACAACACTTCACCATCAACTAGCAGGTTGGCCTTGACGCTCCTATAAAACTTTTCAATTGCAAGTTGGTTAGGCTGGGCCAAACTGTATCTACCCTTTGTAACTCTCTTTAGTTTGGTGTAGCCATGATACTTCCTGAAGTACCTTAGCCTGGCACTATGGTGTGAGGCATGATACTTTTTAAACATTACACGCATGTCACCACGGTGTGAATCATAATAGGCGCGAAACAATGCCTTCATTTTTTCAGTATTTGAATCATAATAGGCGCGAAACAATGCCTTCATTTTTTCAGAATTTGAATCATAATAGGCACGAAACAATGCCTTCATTTTTTCAGTATTGCTTTTATATGCTGCCTTGCTAGCTTCACACTTCAGTGTAGGATTTGCATCATAGCGGGCCTTTGCAGCAGCCTTTCGTCTGTCTGCATTATCTCTATATGCAGCCCTATCAGCAGTAGTTTTCTTCAATGGGTGCAACTTATACAGGGCCCTAGAAGCTGCCTTTTTCTTCTCAGGGATCAGCACAATATAAGGCCCTAACGCTGC